GACAGCAAGGAGATCCAACCAGTCCATCCTAAAGGAAATCAGTCCTGAATATTCATTGGAAGCACTAATGCTGAAGCTGAAACTCCAATCAATACTTTGGCCACCTGATGTGAAGAACTGACTCATTTGAAAAGACCCTGATGCTGAGAAAGATTGAAGGCAGGAGGAGAAGGGGACAACAGAAGATGAGATGGTTAGATGGCATCAAAGACTCAATGGACATGAGCTTGAGTAAATTCCGGGACCTGGTGATGGGTAGGGAGGCCTGGCGTGCTGCAGTCCATGGGGTCACAAAGAGTTGGTCACGACTGAGCAACTGAACTGAACTGAACTGAACTGAACTGATGTTTGAGCATTTCTCCTGTCTGCATGTTTTCAAGCTATATAACAAAATATCTGATTTCATGACCCTCCCAAAGATTCTGTTAGCTGGTCAGTACCTTCTAATAAATCACTAGATAAAATAGATTGTTTTCTGCAACTACAACTCTTGACTAATAAGATGATGAAAGTGTTTAAAAGTTTCAACAACATTTAAATGAAAATTTCCAAAACATATATTTATAGAAAAAACTTTTATGTATTCATCATCCATTATGTAAAATCTCCCAGTTATTTTTACTGGAACAATTTGTAAGAAACATTAATGCAGTGAAAGAATGCTTCTGAATACACCTTATGTATCCATGTTGTTACTTTCAGATAATAAGATTGCTAAAGTGGGTTACTGGGTCACAGAATTTTAAACGTTTATTTGACAGAAGCTTAATTATTTTCCAAAAAGTTTGTATCATTTGTATTCCCTCCAAAAGTATATCAGACATTTGTCAAAATTTAAATATAATTATATACTATATTTTTAAACTGGGTGCATTTTATTGTATATAAATTGACTTCAATAGAGCTGTTTAACATAAACACATTTCTAAGTTTAAACCTGTAAGCTTTTTTAAGTGCTTACCAGGCAGAGAATGTGGAAGGTTAAGAGTTTTTCAGGCAAAAAATTAAGGTTTAGCTCTAAAACCACATAGTGAAATAAAACAATGTCGTCTTAACACACAGTTTAATGCATGCAGAATTTGGGGCCTCTCTGTGGCTTTCTTCTGTCCTGGATTTTACACCTAAATTTCTAGTACCTCTAAACTCTGTCTTCTGACATGATTTTAAACAGGATTTTTAACTTTCTGACATTTCACTGTTAGTATGAAGAAATGCAACAGATTTCTTTATATTAATCATGTATTCTGATACCTTGCTGAGTTCATTTATTAGTTCTAATAGTCTTTGTGTGGATACTTTAAGGTTCTCTCTATATATAGAGTATCATGCCATCTGCATATAATAACAATTTTACTACCTCTTCCAATTTAGACACCTTTTATTTCTTTTTCTTGTCTGACTGCTATGGCTAGGACTTGCAATACACTGTTGAACAGAAGTGGTAAGAGTGGGCATCCTTGTCTTGTTTCAGAATTTAGTAAGAAGACTTTCAGTTTTCTTCATTGAGTACTATGTTGCCTGTAGATTTGTCATAAATGGCTTTTATTATGTTGAGGTATGTTCCCTCTATACTCATTTTGGTGAGACTTTCTATCATGAATGGATGCTGAATTTCACCAACTGCTTTTTATGCATCTACTGGGATGATCATATGGTAAACTCTATCTTCTGATCAAACTGGTAATCATAACTGTAATCAACTGTCAACTGGTATTACTACTGTGACTTTAAACATGTAAGAATGCATACAAATGTGTAGATGAACTCACACATATAAGATGAAATGTTGGGGAGTATATTTAAAATGGGATACCAAAGCTTGGTGGAATGTTTTGTCCAACTACCAACACATCTAGAGAAAATGCAGAGGTCAGACTTTGAATGGAAATTGCAGTAACTTCTAACACAAAAATAAAATAAAAATTAGTGCAATAAGGACAATGATGGCTAACATTTAAACCAAGAAAAATTAACACTCTATTGTTTCACTTTTTTATTTCGAACTTTAGGGCAAAATAAGGGGCCTCTATTTGTCTTAGAAAATATCCCTGAACCTTTTCAGAAATGACCTTACCTACAGACAACAAAGTACACATTTGTGTTTCAGTAAAGAAAAACTTGGCTGTTGACGCTGTTTATTTTGTTTTTATATTCTGTGAAACATGTCTTAAACTTTACATAACCATTTCTCTATTTTATCTGACAGATTTCAGATGCTGTTATCCACATAAATTACATTATTATCTTACTCAGGAAAGGATGCCACTTTGATAACCATTAAAAAATGAGAAGAGACAATACTGTTAAAGAAATGTCATATATTTGAGGCTAGCATCAAGTAAACATAATAAATCATCAAGATTTTTTAACTTGTGAATATTTAAAATAAATAGTCTTGTTCTGAGAAAATAAAATGATAAAGCTTCACATTTATAATATTAATAAATCATAGGACAGAGGAACACTTTGTTAGGACAGCATATAACCCTCATTTGGTTCACCATACAAGAACATATTAATAGAATGTATGCAAAATGTTCTTTATTCTGGTTACACTCTTCTAAATATAATAAAGTTACTTTGGCATGTTATAAATTATAGCTAATTTTCTGTCTTATGTGAGATATAGGGATTTATTATCTATCCAGTATTAGAATAATCTTATATTCAATGTTTTATTTATTATTAACAGATCTCAAGGATTTATTGTTTGTTTCCTGGAACAGACATGGATCAGAGCTTTCAATGTAAAATGATGAAGTAGAAAAGTAAAATGGTCAGTAAAATCTGATTTTATAAGAAAGAAAAGTAAAACATGCTCTTACTTTTATGGACAGTAAACTCTATCCAAAGAAATTAACTTATGATATCTGTTTTCAGATATCAGACTCCCCTGGTCACTAAGACAGTAAAGCATCTGCCTATAATGTGGGAGACCGAGGTTCGGTCCCTGGGTTGGGAAGATCCTCTGGAGAAGGAAATGGCAACCCACTGCAGTACTCTTGCCTGGAAAATCCCATAGACAGAGGAGCCTGGTAGGCTACAGTCCATGGGGTTGCAAAGAATCAGACACAACTGAGCAGCTTCACTTTCACTTTCATCTGTTTTCAAGGAGCTTCTCTGGTAGCTCAGCAGTAAAGAATCTGCCTGCGATGCAGGAAACACTGGTTCGATTCCTCCCTGGGTCAGCAATATTCCCTGAAGAAGGAAATGGCAATCCACTCTTGTATTCTTGCATGGGAACTCCACGGACAGAGAAGTCTGGTAGGCTGCAGCCCATGGAGTTACAGAGAATCGGACACAATGTAGTGACTAAACACTAACAATCTATTTTCAATTAAGTAAAATAATTTTCTCACTAAGCTGGACAAGACTTAGTGACTAAACAACAACAATCTATTTTCAATTAAGTAAAAGGATTTCCCAAACAGTATATTTACCGTACAGGAAAAAATCCAAGGAGGAGGAAAAATAAAGTAGTATCAGATAATATTGTTAGGCACTTTTGAATAATTTAATCCCCACAACAACTCTCAGGTGAACTCTTTCATGCTTTCATAGATAACAAAACTTAAATTACAGGAGGTAAACAGCTTGACAAATAACCATTATGAAAGGGAGGCAGAGTAGAGCCTCAAACCTATAGCTCCGAAGTACTTGTGCTTCCCTCTCCTCCACAGTGTTTCCTCCTGAAGTCTGAGGTATTAAAACTGCAAATGTGGAAATACTGGTAACACTGCATACTTTTTCAGCATTTTAGTGTTTTCCTGTGACAACAGCAACCAAAATTTCAACATTTTGTTTCAACCTTCAGATAAAGAGCCGAATGAAACAGAAGCCGAGGCTTCTTTTACATAAGTCGTTCATAATTAATTTTGAATCATATGCCTTTTGGTATAAAAATTAGTCAACTACACACAAAAAGTTTCGTATTTCCTCTACATAGTCAGACAAGCATGAAATAAGAAAACAGTGCTCTATCTCAATGACATCATATAACGTGTAACCTGGTAAAGACTAGGAGGAATGGAGCAGCAGTAACAGCGGTTCACGGGGGAGAGGGACAGGCTGTAGATGCGCCCTCTCTGAGGCAGAGGCATGCAGCGGACACCGGAAGTAGACGGCAGAGCAAGGGCATCAGGAAAAACTTGCCTGCAAAACAGGCTCACTGCAACGACAAGGCAGTGTGAGAGGAGTCTGAAGACAGTGGTACACTGCAGGTAATCTTAGCAATGGAAGTCCCAAACCCGTTTCAACTCCGACTAAACTGACTCAGCTCCTAGCACTAGCAACACAGACATGCTATTCCGGCACAANAAGCCTTTTCTTTCTTTCTTCCATCCATCCATTCTATTCTTTTCATCGAGTTCTATTTTTCTGCAGCCTCTTAAGCCTACATATGTTAATAAACTTTTGATATCACACAGCCTGCATTCCAAAGTCTTTATTCATTTTAGTTGTTGTAATTTGAAAAATAAACCTCTTTTTCTGATGTGAAACTCCCCACCATCATGCAGCAGAGAGAGGTAAAGGTCTTCTGAGGATCAGAACAATCAGCCAGGTCCAGCAAAATTTGGACCAAACCTGACTCATAGAGAGAGCCACGACGAATTCCTCCCTGAGCTCAGCAACAAGGGAAGACAAAAGGCATGGAACAAGTGGCAAAGCTAAAACTGCCAGCAGAAGAAAGAGGTAATTTAGCCTAAGAAAAATTTTGACAAAAATAATTTGTAATGTGAGTATATTGTAAAAGGAAAATCATTTAAGCAAATGTTGAACTTAAAAGCATAGCCAAGAAAAAAGTGTACTCCCTTCAGAGAGCTGAAGGAAAATATTGTCCATTTAGAGATAAGTTCATCAGACTATCTTAGAGCCATGAAACATATTTGAACCATGCATGCAAAGCTGCTTCAATCATGTCCGAACCATGACCTTATGGACCATAGCCCACCAGGCTCCTCTGTTCATGGGATTTTCCAGGCAAGAATACTGGAGTGGGTTGCCATTCCCTTCTCCAGGGGATCTTCCTGACCCAGGGATTGAACCCTGGTCTCCTGCATTGCAGGCAGACTCTTTACCACCTGAGCCACCAGGGAAGCCTGAAATAAAAATGCCCTTTGTAGCCAGACTGACAACCAAAGAGACAATGAAACAGGGAACATTACTAAAGACCCTACAGACATGAAAAGGATAATAACAAAGTATTACAAACAACATTATGTCCACAATTTAGAGGAAACACATTCCCTGAAATAAACAACAAGAGCCACACAAACTCACAAAAGCCACCTAAGAAGAAAAAACCCGAATAGTACTATATTCTACCAAAGAAACTGAATACATACATTGTAAAACTTAGTGGGAAAAAAACAAAAAACTCCAACCTCACCTGGCTTCACTGGGAAGTTCTACCAAACACTGGAGCAGGAAATGGAAACCCCCTCTAGTAGTCTCGCCTGGGAAATCCCCTGGACAAAGGAGCCTGGTGGGCTACAGTCCACCAGATCACAAAGAGTCAGACACAACTGAGAGACTAAACAACAATACACAAACTTCTCCAGTAGAAAGAAACACTTCCAAACTCATTTTACATCGTCAGCATTACTCTTACACCAAACACATACATACATAAAGATATTTAAACTACAGATCAATATCTCATATGAACATACATGCAAAAAATTCTCAACAATGCATTATCAAATCTGCAACGACAAGGCAGTGTGAGAGGAGTCTGAAGACAGTGGTACACTGCAGGTAATCTTAGCAATGGAAGTCCCAAACCCGTTTCAACTCCGACTACACTGACTCAGCTCCTAGCAGTAGCAACACAGACATGCTATTCCGGCACAAATGTTATTAAGCTCAGTCTTTAGCATACACGGTATTTTGCATTAACGGTCATCCATACACGGTATTTTGCATTAACAAAATATTATTAAACACTAAAGAAAGCAAGAAAAGTTAATCCACTTTCTAGAGACAAAGCAACTGACAATCCAGACTCAATGAGGTTGAAATAATCATAAAGAATTTTAAATGACTATAATTACTATGTTAAAAGACCTAGTAGATAAGGTGGAAAACATGCATAAAGACAATGAGGAATTTCAGCAGAGAAATGAAAACTGTAAAGGTCAAATGAAATATCAGAAATAATAATTTTAAAAATCAAGATAAAATAGTGATGAAAAACGCCTCCAACACGCTCAAAAGTGTATCACATAGGTTAGAAGATAGACCATATGACATTACCTAAAAGAAAGAGTAACTATAACAGAATCAGACAAACTAAAGATAAGACAGAATATGAATAGGGATAAAGAGAAAAACTTTAAAACAATAAAAAACCAGATTTACTAAGGAGACATAACAATCCTAAATATATACACACTTAAGAACAGATCTCCAAAATAAAGTAAAAACTGACAGGACTGAAATGAGAAACAAACAAATCCATAATTTTAGTCAGAGACTTCAAGACTCCAAAACTTAGTATTTGACAGAACAAGTAAACAGAAAATTAGTATATTTACAGAAGCTCTGAGCAACATAATTATCCACTTTGACCTAACTGAAGTTTTAAGACAACCACAGAAGAATAAACATCTTTTCAGGCACACATTTTTTTGATAGACCATATTCTGTAAATATGAAAAAAGCTCATGAAATATGAAAGCTCATGAAACAAGCTTTGACAAACAACAGATTTTTTTCTCTATTCATTGCCCATTAAGCAAACTAGAAATCAGTAACAAAGATAAGTGGTAAATTCTCAAATACCTGGAAATTCAACAGTATACTTCTAAATAACTCAGCAATAAAAAGGAAGAGAAATGAGAAAATATTTTGAATAAAAGGAAAACAAAAACATATCAAAATTCATAGGATGCAGCTAAAGCAAGGCTGAGAAGCAAATCCTTGATTATTAATGCTTATAGACTACTAGGAAAAAATTAAGTACAGCACAGGGAATATAGTCAATACCTTAAAATAACTTTGATGACGTATATGCTATAAAAATATTGTATTACTATGTGTACATCTGAAACTAACAGAATATTGTAAGTGAACACTACTTCAGTAAAAAGATAAGAACAAATAAAATAAGAAAAGGTGTCATATTAATGATCTAACAAGCTTCAACCATAAGAAACTGTGGGGGGAAAAATAGGGAAAAAGGTGCAACTTAACCCCAAAGAAAGCAGAAGTAAAGATAAAAGCAAAACTAATAAAATTGAACACACAAAAGTAGAGAAAAATCAATGAAACAAAAACTAATTCTCTGAAATAATAATATTAATACACTTGTAGCCAGACTGACAGCCAAAGAGAAGATGAAAACCCCATAGACTGTAGCCCACTAGGCTCCTCTGTCCATGGAATTCTCCAGGCAAGAATACTGGAGTGGGTTGCCATTCCCTTCTCCAGGGGATCTTCCTGACCCAGGGATTGAACCCTGGTCTCCTGCATTGCAGGCAGACTCTTTACCACCTGAGCCACCAGGGAAGCCTGAAATAAAAATGCCCTTTGTAGCCAGACTGACAACCAAAGAGACAATGAAACAGGGAACATTACTAAAGACCCTACAGACATGAAAAGGATAATAACAAAGTATTACAAACAACATTATGTCCACAATTTAGAGGAAACACATTCCCTGAAATAAACAAGAGCCACACAAACTCACAAAAGCCACCTAAGAAGAAAAAACCTGAATAGTACTATATTCTACCAAAGAAACTGAATACATACATTGTAAAACTTAGTGGGGAAAAAAACAAAAAACTCCAACCTCACCTGGCTTCACTGGGAAGTTCTACCAAACACTGGAGCAGGAAATGGAAACCCCCTCTAGTAGTCTCGCCTGGGAAATCCCCTGGACAAAGGAGCCTGGTGGGCTACAGTCCACCAGATCACAAAGAGTCAGACACAACTGAGAGACTAAACAACAATACACAAACTTCTCCAGTAGAAAGAAACACTTCCAAACTCATTTTACATCGTCAGCATTACTCTTACACCAAACACATACATACATAAAGATATTTAAACTACAGATCAATATCTCATATGAACATACATGCAAAAAATTCTCAACAATGCATTATCAAATCAATTCCAGCAATATTTAAAGAAGATAATACAGCATGACCAAGTGGGATTTCTTCCACAAAATGGAAGGTGATTTCAAAAATCAACTAGTATAATTCACATTACCAACAAATAAAGAAGAAACATCATATAATCATCTAGTTAAACACCAAAAACATTTGACAACATTCAATATCTATTCATGAGTTTTAAAATCTCAGCAAAAAGGAACGGCAGGGAATTTCTTCAAGATGATGAAGGGCATCTGCCAAAAAACCCATTATGCTTGATGGTGAAAAACTAAATGCTCTTTCCCTCTTATCAGGAACCAGACAAGGAATACACTCTCATCACTCCCATTTAACTTTGTATTTAGTGTAGGTTCTAGGCAAGAAAAAGAAAAAATAAAAGAACTATACAAATAAAACTGTTCTCTAGATAGAGAAATAAAACACCTCTGTTCCCTGATGACATGATTCTTTAAAAAGAAATTCCCAAAGAATCTATTGAAAGGAAGGAAGGAAAAGATCACTAAGTTGTGTCCAACTCTTTGTGACCCCATGGACTATATGTAGCCCACTAGGCTCCTCCGTCCATGGGATTTCCCAGGCAAGAATACTGGAGTGGGTTGCCACTTACCCAGGGAGCAAACCCATGTCTCCTGCATTGGCAATCAGATCCTTTACTGCAGAGCCACCAGGGAAGCCCCAAAGAACCTATTATAATCCATTTAAAAGTGACTAGAATTAACTAGCTAATATAGGGTAATCTCAGGCCACAAGGTCAATGTAAAAATCAACTGCACAGTGCACAACAATGTGAATGCTATTCTATTATATTATGTACATTTTACCACTTTTTAAAAAAATGATAGCATCAGAAAAGTTATCCAAAGAAGAAAAAAAATGTCCTGAGCCAGCTGCAAACTTAAGCTTTTATTAAAAGCTGTTTTAAATCAATTGTATTTATATACACTGACACTGGACAATCAGCAATTAAAATTTAAAAATGCAGTACCACTTTTAACAGCATCAAGAAACGAACTATAAACCCATGAAAATATATATAAGATCTGTAAAATCTAGGAACACCAACAAACAAAATTAAAGAACTAAATAAATGTAGAGATATGTTATGTTCATGCACTGGAAGATATCAATTTTCCTTAAACTTACCGACAGACTCAATGTAATCCCAATCAAAATTCCAGTAAGATTATTTTGTGGCAATCAGGAAACTGATTCTAAAGTTTATATAGAAAATAAAACTAGAATAGCCAAAATAATTCTGAAAAGGAACAAAGTTGCAGGATTCATGCAACCTAATTATGAGACCATAAAGACCATGATTTCAATTCTATAAATCCATAATTATGAACACAGAATGGTAATGGCAAAAGGACAGACATACAGATCAACAGAACAGAGTCTAGAAGTACACCCACACTTGGTCAATAGATTTCATATATGGTCAATTAATTTCGAAAAAGGTGCAAAATCAATTAAATAGAGAATGACTAGTCTTTTCAACAATGGTTGGATTTTCAAATTCTAGCAATGGTGTTAGCATTTTTGTATATCTATATGGAAAGAGATGAATCTCAATCTCCACCTTACAGCATGTAAAATTTAACTCAAAATGGACTATAGATTTAAAAGTATAATAAAGTAAAACCATAACACATTTAGAAGAAAATTAGAGAAAATTTTTGTGACCTTGGATTAGGCAAACATTTCTTAAACAAAATATCAAATACATGAACCATAAAAGATAAAACTGATAAACTGGACTAATTCAAGATACGAAAACTTCAGTTCTTCAAAAGATACTGTTAAGTCACAGAAAAGCCACAGAGAGAAAATACTTGAAAACACACAGGTTATAAAGTCCTAAGTCCAGAATATACAAAAAAAACTCTCAACATCCAAAAATAAGAAAACAAACAAAATTTAATGGCCAAAGACAGAACAATTAAAAAAGATATATGAATGACAAGCACATGAAAAGGTGCTCAACATGATTTGTCATTAGAGAGAAGGGAAATAAGACCACAATGAGATACTACTACACACCTATAGCTAAAAATAATAAAGAAACTCTCAATAGCAAGTACTAGTCATGAGAGAAGACAATTGTTGGAAAAAGAGTCCAGTGAGTTCTTCCAAAGTTTACTAACCACTTGATCCAGCAATCCCACTTCTAGATATTTACCCAAGAGACATAAAAATTTATGATCCTACAGAAACCTAATGCAAATATTTATAGTGGCTTTATTCATAACCTCCAAAACTAAAACAAATCCACTGGTGAATGGATAACTACCTTAGAGTCACACAATGCGATACTATATACAGCAGTTTGAAAAAAAAACAAAAACCTACTAAATATATGAATAAATCTCAAATGCATTGTACTACAGAAAGAAGCCAGTACTCCCCTCTGTAGGAATGGAAAACCTATCAATTGTTACCAGAGGCTGGTGGTAATGATAAAAGGGAATTTTATGGGATGATAAATTCCTCTATATCTTACTTGTGCTTACTAGACTGTATGCACCGTCAAAATTCATACACTAAACTGAGTGAATTTTACTGTGTAAGTAACACTTCAGTAAGTCTGACCAAAAAATCCTATCTATTAACTTACTATGATCTTATTGATAAAAGTGAGGTGGTGTACTTGTTAAGTATGTTTCAAGCACTCTTTATTAAAGGTGATTTTTGGAAATGATGGTTCTGTACTTTGAGAAACTCTAAACTCTAAAAGCTGGGTCAGAATTTCTCAAAGTACAGAACCATCATTTCCAAAAATCACCTTTAACAAGGAGTACTTGAAACATACTCAACAAGTAAGTACACCTTTAACAAGGAGTACTTAAAAATATAAATAATGGTCTCTATTTCAAACCAACCGAATTTCAGTCCAAGACTTCCAAAAAGGAGAATTTAGAGTTGTTGCTGTTTTATTTTTTTAATTTACAGCAATAAATTGCATTCAATTTCCAAATAGGCACTTTTTTTAACAAAATTTTTGGACTTAGGAGGATCCACATTCATTCTTACTGATTCATTCCTTTAATCTTATTAATTCATTTTCTCCTTTTGTTTCAAACATGTAATTAACTGAAACAGCAAATTCTAGAGGATTACCCCTACAGAGGAGACACAGCGTACGTAATGTTAGGATCTGTGATAAATTTGTCTTACTGATATTCTCAAAATGAAAAAATCATTATCCCCAAGGAACAGAGCTCTATCTGAAGATCTAGTTATTTCAGCAAACCTGCAGATTAGTTCAATATTAGACAATTTAAAAAGATGACATTCTGCTAGGGAAATCTTTCATTTTACTAAATTTCATTCACAACCTTTTTCCCCAAACAATTTATTACTTGATTTTGCTCACCTCCTCTCCTGAAAGGTAATACGCTGCAAGCAATCCTCCAATAAATCGAATGTTGACTTCAAACACAGACACTTCTGAATTCTGTGAAAACATATTGAAAATGCTCACATATACACAAAGCTGAGAAGGTTTCAAAATATTTTCAATACTTCATATGTTTCTCACAAACACACTAGGGAGAATATTTTTTTCCACTTTCTACATCTTCATTTCTCATGCAACTGAAATCTCACCTCCCATTTGTTAATGCTACTGAGACTCCTCTACTGTTATCAGCACAGCTTCCTAGTTGCCATAACCAAGGGGCCATTTTCATGTGCCTTACATATTATTATGAAATTAGCAAGATATTTGATGCTGCAGACTATTCTCCCTCATGAAAGCCTCCATTTCTTAAATTTTGAAATAGTGCTCAATCTACTGGTCCCTTTCTGTTCTATGCTATATTCACTACACTACAATATATATTCAGTAAACTGTATGTCCATTTTTACTTCTATCTCTTCTCATGAATTTTAAATACTTTTCTAGTATGTATAACTTAATCAATGTTAAAGGAGGTACCAAAAAGTAATGACAAGATGATAGATTTTTTCAATTAATAATGTTGAAACACTGACTCCTAGATGAGAAATTGATTTGACTCTTATATATGATATACACATATTTATCAAAATGAAATCAAAATAATTTAGAAGTAGACACAGAAGTACCAAAAAAAAAGTAGAAGAAAATGTGACAATATATCTATACTCCCTTGAGAAAGCAGGTACTTTATAAGTATATAATCAATTGCACTGATAACAAATAATGACAGAAAGACATGAATTTCCCCATAATGAAAATTACCTATAACAAAAAAATTATGAACAAAATTAAAAGGCAAGAAACAAATGGAAGGATATCTGCCACAAATATAGAATAACTTACCACATATAGTCTACAGGTTTGTATTTAGATATGGATAAAGATATTGCTGAGAAAGATTCTAATGCATGGAAAGGAAAGTAAAGAAGTGGCAAAGAACATGACCAAAGAATCCACAGAATATACAAAAGTGACTAATAGAAAAATAATACTTCTAATTAACTTTTAAGTAAAAATTAAAAGGAAATATATATTACCCTGAAGTCTTTCCAATATTCACAGGCAGAAGACATCATTTGCTAACACAAGCATAATTCTCTAATACAGAACTTTCACAATATAATTATTTTAATAACATAAACTGTTATTAATCCTCAAAAGCAAAGTATTTATATTACTTCATATATTCCCAATATAAAGCATACTGCAGGATATATAGTAGACATTCACTAAATATAGAGAGGAAGCGAAAGAGGGAGAGAGGGCCTCTGTCACTCACTAGAAGAAGAATACCTTCTAACCAGTTTCCCTGACTGTACTTCCCAGTACTCTATTTGTTCAGTACCATATAGCTAGAGTGTAATGCAACTTTTCAATCTTAAATCAGCATAAATTACCACTCTGTGCAAACTTTTACAATGGTTTCTGGTTACACTCAGGGTAAAATGACTTATTAGACCCAACATAATCAGATTCCCCACAACCTCTCTGACATTATCTCCTAACAAATATCCCTGTGACTCACTTTATGATTACACCAAATGGGTCTACCTGCCATTTGAGAATCGTCAAACTCACTTCTGTGTCAGTCTTTACGCTACTTGCACATCTCTATGAGCAAATTCCACTTAGAAAGTTTTTCTGACCACACAATATAAAATAGTGAAGTAATCCCTCATCACTAATATGCTTTATTCTGTACTATTTCCCCAATTAACACTTATCATCATCTTAGTATGGCATAATTCTTTATAAAATTCAAATCTTTCCTCACAAGAGACAGAAGAGAAAGTCTAGAGGACAGAACAGAGAGGATGAGGAAGAAACATTATTTACAGGAGTAAAGAGAGAACCTTCCTAAAGTTCTGAAAACAAAAGTCCTTAGACTAAAGAATATTATGAGTCCTTTATGGAATAATCTAAATACAGAATGGTAAAGAAACTATAGAAAAACACAGCAAAGAAAGAAAATATTAACAAGGAGGGGAAAGATAACCTTTTAAAAATTAAACTGACAGCATACTTTTCAACAGCATATTAGAAAGACAATGAGACTGTATCTTTAAAAGGTTAAGAGAAAATAATCATCAACCTCTAATTTTATACTCAGCTATAATATCTATTAGGAGAAAGCTTGGCTCTCTCATATCCACATGGCTTCCCTTGGGTGTCTTCTCAGAAAAGTTATTACCTTCAATAGTCATCAGATATATAAACAGCAACTTCTCACCACTGCTTACTCCTATTTACTCACCAGTTTACTCACCAATGCTATTTATTTACTCTTCTTTAAGAGTAAGAACTTACCACTACCTGCTATGTTATATACAACTTTAATACGCATTTACTATTTTTCTCCTATAACTAAAATATAAACTAGTATAAACTAGAGATAAAACTGTTTTGTTCATTCCTGTATCCATAGATCCAGAACAGTGTCTGTCACAGAGAAAGCACTCAATAAATGTTTATTTTTCTATTCATTACCTAATTTTTCTACTCATTACTTTAAATGCAAGCTGGGACCAACTGGACAACAATTACACATAAGACAAGAGGGAAATGAGCTAAATTAAAAGATCTTTATATTTTTCAGAAGAAAGAGAAACTGATTAATTTTAAACTTTGGTAAGTATACCTATTAAAATTTCAAGAGTAACCCCAAAATAAACAGAAATGTAAAGTATATAATCAAACTAGTAGAGGTAAAAAGAGATACAAACTAAAAAGTAATAGAGGAAAAAACAGACATGAAGTAATTTAATACAAAATAAGAAAGAGAGAAAGGCAAATGAGAAGCACAATAATAATATAGGTAGCAAAATAATGATGGAAGATACAACTCCAAAAATATGTTACCATACTAAGTGTAAATATTTCAAATTTAACAGTTAAAAGATTCCAAGACTGGATAAAAATAACAATATCTAAGTACACGTCATATGTAAAACATGCAGCTAATACAAATGACACAGAAAGGCTAAAAGTAAAAGAATGAAAAATAACTGTGCTGATTATTAAGCTATTTTTTCCTCAGCTTCAAATCCATCCTTTAACATTCTACTTTGGTATACAGAAACCAGAACTCTTCAAATGCATTTCTCATTTGCCTGTGGGCTCCCCAAGAGGCCCTGCCAATGACAAGAAGTGCTACAAAGATAATACAAAGATGAAGGAAGGAAAAGGAACTTATTCCTTCTAGCTTACTTCTGGCTTCTGACACTGTCAAACCAGCCACGGTTCTTCGCCCTGGCATTTGCTTCCAAGTTCCAGTTCCCCTGTCACAGACACATTCCCCAAGTTGGCCTCTTTATGCCCTTTTGAGATACCAAGCTCTAGCTAGGTACCCCCTCTTCAGATGTCTGAGCCCTAGCTCCAAGAGGATACATTTAAGAACTCCTAAATTATCAAAATCAGAGCCCCAAGCTACTAAATGTTATTGGTCTCAGCCTCTTCAGACTGTTCTCAGAGTTCCAGGCGCGGCAGCTGTTTACTGCAGTTATTAATACTACCTCTTGTAATACAGTAATGTTCTACTTTGCCTTTTCAGTGCCCCATTACTTGTCAACAATTCTAAACAATAAATCCTCTCAATTAAAAAATTGCACAGTTTTGGTTCTTGGTTGAGCCAACTGACACAATATACCAACAAATTATCAGGCATAATAAAACTGCCATGTTAACAAACAGGAATGTTGGAGATTCACAAATGCCAATTCTCTCCAAATTAATCTATAAACTGAATGCAATCCTCATCAAAATTTCAACAGGGTTTTCCAGAGCTTAAAAGAACAAGGAACTGAGAACTGCTAAGATAATCTCCTAGTAGAATAACATCAATAATAGCAAGATTCAAATATAGATACCAAGTTGTCTTATAAAAATATTGTAGCTAAGGGTACAATAAATATTTAGACTGCTAAAATATTGATGTAGGTCTACATGACTAATGTGGCATGTACAAATAGCAGGGAAATATTAGTAAATAGAATCAACTATTTGTTGATCAAGTGATAATTGCCTATCAGTCTACCTACAAATTTAATTATATAAGAACTAAAGACCCAAATGCAGAAGTTTAGAATGAAACATTGGAATATATCTTCATGACCATGAAGTGAGGATTTCTTAAATAAGATACACAAAGCATAGTCTCCAAGGGTTACATAACTATACGGGGTGGAGAGAAGGGGTGGTGTGGGAGGGGTAGATGGACTACAATTCTCAACGCCCTTTACAATAAGATGTGGCCACATGAGTAAGATTCACTCACTAATACACAAGCAAAAAGGGGGTAACTGACTTTTGAACAATCACGTATCTTTTCTCTATTCCTTCCTTCCTCCTTTCTGCCACTGGGCACTTATCCACCTTATCTTGAGGAATCATCTATGAAGATGAAGCTTTATACTGCAGTTGACAGAGCAGTAAGACAAAGGATCCTAGATCACTGAGGAGCTATGCAAATCAGTTCTAAACTGCTTATCTCTGCACTTGATTTTCAGGAAACAGAAATAAATTCTCTCTCTTGCTTAAGCTATTTCATACTAGATTTTCTGTTATGCACAGCCAAACCTAAACCTGATAATAAAAATTGCTGTGATATATGCTCAAAATGCTAAAATAATACAAAAGAAAGTAATCAATTTTTGTCTAATTAGCATCAGGAAAGGCATAAGAAATAATTACAGATTTAAATCATAATTTGAATGATACAGAGTCTGCCAAAGAAAAAAACACATAAAGGAGTGGTTTCTCACCACAGTCAGAAGGAACACCAAGTACAAATATCATGAAAGATAATAATGAATATGACAAAATAGCCCACACATCTTTCAGGTGAAGATTGGTAGCAATGAAAATAACTGCTATCATTTACTGAACACTGAATATGTACCAGATTATCTCAAATAATCCTCACAATACTGCAAGAGGATAGCAATTTTATGACAGGTTTAGAAAGTAGCACTTACTTACAGGTAGATTTCCCAAGGAGTACTAGAATGTAGCTGTGCTGGGCTTCAAACCTAAGCAGTACCACTTAACAACTATGCCAAAATTCTGGGATGATGAGCACATGCCTATGAAGACTCATCAAAACTGTGCCATATGCACAACACGATCAACTGTACTTCAATTTAAAAAATAAAATTTTTAAAAGATGTTTAAAAAAAAACTGTGCCAAATCACTGTATCTTTAAAAAACAATAAAATATTTATTTTAAAGTTAATTTATGATTTTCCTATATTTCCAGTTCAACGTGCTTTTCCCCCAACTCTTGCTTTAACACACTCAACACATTACCTTAAATGATAAGAGCAAGAAAAGTAAAAGGAAAATGGTGAGAAAAGGTGTCTATTTTATGCAAAAACTAAACAACTGACAACTGCAAAAGAAGAAGGGAGACATGGGATTTCCTTAAATTCAGTATAACACTCAAAACTATTGTTAGAGACTGTGTTTTTCTTTATAGTCAACTGAATAAATTATGAACTGTATACTCACCACACTGAAATCAAGGTTGTTTTCAATCCATTTTTGCCCATCTCGGAATTCATCATGAAGTCCCATGATATAAAGGGTATCCAAAGCATCTACTATAGTAGCACCCATTTGTGAAGTTCCTATATTTAGAGAGAAAAATGTCATTAAAAAGATACCCTTCATACAAGACTTATTTTCATTTTTCATATATATAGAAAGTAAACCAAAGTAGGAATATAGGGATTAAAAAAATATCCAACATCATCTACTTTTCCATTAAATAGACAATATACATTGTTTAAAACATTTTTCTAAAGAGAAACATTGATAACTAATAGGAAGATAAAGGAAAACTAAAACTATAATTCTTCTTAATTTTCTTCCTGGTTCAGAAAATGAGATCTATTTAACTGAGATAGATTAAAAAAAAAAAAGGATTAATTTAAGAAATGGGAAGGGTGGTTTAAGATGGTAAGCTAAGTCATAAGACAACCATGAACAATGCTCTTTTGGTCCAAATTCATAGAAAGGGCAAAAAATATATTTAAAATAATAATAAAAGTATAACAAGGCTAAATAACTGTAGTGGGAATATAAAGTATAATAATCCTTAACAATCAAAAAGCAGAACATATTTTAAAAGAAGGAAGTCATAAAATGTGAGTAGAGAAAATCAAAGTACTAAGATCTGCCTATCTACAAAAAGAGATCATCTTGATCTTAAAGAAAATGTTTCAGGGAGGGAGGAATTAATTCAACAAACCAGACTAACTGATACTAAAACCAGATACTGGACACACAAGAAAACAGAACAGGCCCACCTTACTAATGAATATAACTGCAAAAACCTTGAATAAGATACTAGTAAGACAAATCTAGTAGCACAGTAAAAGAACAAATAACAGGGAGCAACTAGGTTCTCCCTAGCCCTAGGAATGAAATTATTATTTCTACCTTCTGAGAATGAAAATCATCCACACAGCTTACTGCCTATATTAACATAACTTTATTATTACACTGTCATCATCAATGAGTTTATTCTTATAGGAAACATACTCAGAAAGACAGAAGTTGCAAAATAAGTTTACTGTTCATTCCAGGAACTTCTTCAAAGATCCATCAACTCTTTAACAGATAATGATGGCTAACACTCCAAAACTCTAAACCTCTTGCCTTTAAATTCTCTGATCATGTTGCTGTGGTTTAGTTGCTAAGTCATGTCTGACTCTTTTGCAATCCTATGAATGATAGCCTGCCAGGCTCCTCTGTCCATGGAGTTTCCCAGGCAAGAAATACTGAGGTGGATTGCCATTTCCATCCCCAGGGGATCTTCCAGGGATCGAACTCACATCTCCTGAATTAGCAGGTGGATTCTTTCCCACTGAGCCACCAGGTAAGCGCATTACATGATGATCCGTTCCCAATCATAACCAAGATATAATCAACCATAATCCACCAACTGAAGGGCCCTTACTAAGCAAGACTTAAAATCTCAATATATATCTGAACTTCGTCCTTCCCTGTCTAACAGGCTACTAAGGTTCTGCTGAGGGAGTAACCTCCCTTACCATTGTAAACATTATCCTCGGCTAGGGCTTCTCTGATAGCTCAGTTGTCAAAGAATCCGCCTGCAATGCAGGAGACTCTGGTTTGATTCCTGGGTCAGGAAGATCTGCTGGAGAAGGGATAGGCTACCCACTCCAGTATTCTTGGGCTTCCCTTGTGGCTCAGCTGGTAAAGAATCCACCTGCAATGCGGGAGACCTGGGTTCGATCCCTGGGTTGGGAAGATCCCCTGCAGAAGGGAAAGGCTACCCACTCCAGTATTCTGGCCTAGAGAATTCCATGGACTGTATAATTCATGGGATCGCAAACAGTCAGACACGACTGAGCAACTTTCACTTTGTCTTACCAACAAGTTACCTTGGTGATATTTTAGGAATCTGTATGATACTACTTAGGTTCATTGCTGTTGTTGTTTAATCATTCATCATGTCTTAACTCTTTTGCAACCCTGTGGAATGTAGCCTGCCAGGCTTGTTTATCCACAGGATTTCCCAGGCATAAATACTAGAATGGGTTGCTATTTCCTTCTCCAGAGGATCTTCCAGACCCAAAGATCAAATTCGCATCTCCTTCATTGGCAGGCAGATTCTTTAACACTGAGCCACCAGGATCAGGCAGATTCTTTACCACTGCAGCCTATTTAGGGTCATTTAATATTCCTTTACTATCCCTTCTATTTAATATTTATTTAATATTCCATTTAATATTCCTTCTATTTATTTATTTTGGCCACACTGCACTGCATGTGCAACTTCTCTAAACAGGAATCGAACCCGTGTTCCCTGTAGTAGAAGCTCAAACTCCTGGTAGCCAGTGGACTACCAGGGAAGCCCTTTACTTTCCTTCTTAATTCCATACTTTTTTCCCCAAGTGTTTTCTTACAATGGTTTAAAGCTATACAGATTTGTTCTTATAATGCTTGTTTTTAACTTACATCACACTTTCTTGTTCATGTGCTCCTAATTATTTCTTCAACTTACCAAGAAGGATATCTTTCTACTAACAAAATGAGTACTCCACCACACTCTTGACAAATTCCTTGGTCTTCTCCCCACTCAGTTCCCTTCATGTTGATATCAACTATAACATTTGTTCTGGGTTATTACAGACATACTTTCCATTTCTTTTTTGTTCCTCAGCTTCCTATTAACAAAAATGTTATCAAGCCATTTAATCACCCATATATCACTATCTCTTGCATAATCTTTGGCTACCTGATGCGTAGAACTGACTCATTGGAAAAGACCCTGATGCTTGGAAAGATTGAAGGTGGGAGGAGAAGGGGATGACAGAGGATGAGATGGTTGGATGACATCACTGACTCAATGGACATGAGTTTGAGCAAGCTCCAGGAGTTGGCGATGGACAGGGAGGCCTGGCATGCTGCGGTCCATGGGTTCACAAAGAGTCGGACATGACTGAGCAACTGAACTGACTGACTTGAATCACTTGAATCAAATATGTATCTCTATTTTAGTATTTTGTCCACAATATATATTATGCATATTTTAAATCCTTAGGAGTCCCTGTTTTTGTTCTTATCTCAATTTTTACAGGTAGCTATGCTCAGTTCTCTATTTATTTAGTCCTTTAAGTACATGTTCCTCTAAGGTGTTGACTATTCTGAAATGGAAAAAGGTCTGACCCACATACCTGTACTGATTTTGGTTGATTACACAAGGAGAGGTTTGTGCCACAGGCTAAGCAGCACAAAAAAAGTGAAAGGCAAAATTGAAATTACTGGCTATCATTATGACTGTTTACCTAGATAACTGAAGATTTCAATTGGAAAAAATTAAAGGGTCTAAAACTACTCTTGGGTGAAATAAAAATTAAAGTATGACACTACAGAAGATATAAAACATAAACAAAGATTTATTATGAGAACACAGGAATCAACCAGTTCTGAGGAAAACTCATAACTTGAAAATTTTGTACTATTTAATAAGAACGAATGAAAACAACTTTTTCTTATTAACAAAGTAAGAAAAAGAATGATAAACTTGAGCAACAAAGTAGAAGAATCAGAAAAGCTAAAGGCAGAAGTAAATGAATTAGTAATAAAGAACTATCAGAATAATAAATTCAAGAGATAATTCTATGAAAAGAACTATACGATAAATTTATAACTAATTTTTTTAAAGTAGTCATTCAAAAGTGGAAAAGGAGTACATGAAGGCTGTATATTGTCACCCTGCTTATTTAACTTATATGCAAAGTACATCATGCAAAATGTTGAGACAGATGAAGCACAAGCTGGAATCAAGATTGCCAGTAGAAATATCAAAGACCTCAGATACACAGATGATACCACTCTAATGGCAGAAAGTGAAGAGGAACTAAAAAGTCTCTTGATGAGAGAGCAAAGTGAAAAGGCTGGCTTAAAACTCAACATTCAAAAAACTAAGAGTATGGCATCCAGTCCCCTCACTCCATGGCAAACAGATGGAGAAAACAGTAGAAACAGCAGCAGATTTTATTTTCTTGGGCTCCAAAATCTCTGCAGACGATGATTATAGCCATGAAATTAAAAGATGCTTGCTCCTTGGAAGACAAGCTATGACAAACCTAGATAAGATATGAAAAAGCAGAAACATCACTTTGCTGACAAAAGTCCATATAGTCAAAGCTATGGTTTTTCCAGTAATCATGTATGGATGTGAAAGTTAGACCATTAAGAAGGCTGAGCACGTAAGAATTGATGCTTTCGAACAGTGGTGCTGGAGAAGACTCTTGAGAGTCCTTTGGACAGCAAGGAGATCAGACCAGTCAATCCTAAAGGAAATCAACTACGAATATTCACTGGAAGGACTGATACTGAAGCTCCAATACTTTGGCCACCTGATGTGAAGAGCTGACTCACTGGAAAAAGACCATGATGAGGGCATGAGGAGAAGGGGTCCACAGAGGATGAGATGGTTGGATGGCTTCACCAACTCAATGGAAGTGAGTCTGAGCATACTCTGGGAGATAGTGAAGGACAGGGAAGCCTGGAGTGCTGCAGTCCATGGGGTCTCAAAGAGCCAGACACGACTTGGCAACTGAACGAGAAATGGGAATATATAAACACAAAAAAAGGAACTGAGAATGCTACAAGAGACAGATATAAAAGAAATTAAGAAAACTTGAAAAAAAAATTTAGTTGTATCTTCCAAATAAATTTGAAAATGAGTGGAACTGATTATTTTCTAAGAAAATGAACATTATTTTGACTTATGAAAAAAGAAACAGAAAAATCTAAACACAGACCAAGAAAAAAATTGAGAAATTTTCAAAGAGCTACCCACAATACAAGATTTGTACTGTAGAAGTTTCATAGAATAAACTCTACTTTAATTTTAAGGATGACGAATACTAAATAAATCTTGATAGCAACATAGGGGGACAAAAACTCATGAATTCTGCATACCATTGATGCAAAAATGTAACTTAGTAAGAAAAATAAAACTATTGGCTGATCTCATTTGTGAACATCATGGAAATATTTAGGTATGGACTTGCTAGCAGGTATGGTGAGTTTATGTTCAATTTTATGAGAGACTGACAAACTGCTCTCCAGAAAGTACCATTATATA